TTATGTCTATACAACTGATAGAAGTTTTTAATAGTTTTTGAGCCCATTACTTTGTGCTATCCTCTAATCTTAGGCCCAGTTTTAGATTCATAAGAAAATTAAGACCTTTGTAAATGGCAAGAATCAACATAATGGAACTTATTAAAATGGTGTATTTGAAGACTTGTCTAGATATGCTAATATCAATGAATAATCATGATGCCAATTTATATGTACTTATTACAAAGTCATAGGTGGAACACAAATGCCTTTGTATTCCTACACCTCATATGACATCAGGAAGAATCAGTGGAGAAATGTGTAAAAGAGGAGTCTTGGTTATATTTCTACAGTAATTAAAGTGTTTAATTTACTGTAAATTTTAACTTTGTTTCCTAATAACGATTATATTCTAAATAGATCATAATGCTTTACGCAATTTCTTCCTTATTTTGTCTTGTTGAGAATCAAGGCCAGGGTTTGTGCACACTATCCCTTTCCTAGTCCGCTACATTTTCAGCTCCTATTAGATTCAGCTTTTAAATTATGTAATATCTTAATAAATTTATATATATAATATTCATTGTCTTGGACTTTGAATAATTTAGATTTCCATGGAGTATACATTTAATAAGTGTTTATTAGATTTAATATACATTCTATATAATAGGAAATCATGAGAATGCTGTACTGTTAGGACATTTTAAATAATATCTTACAATGTTTGCTAATCTTTTACGACAAATTTTGATTACTTATCTTATCTTTCTACATAGCTGATTGGCCTTCAAACTTTTCCTGGGCTTTCATTTAATGTTTGCGACTTGTTTTAGCTTTCAACTGAAAATTTTTATAAAATATATTTAACTGGGCATGGTGGCTCTTAATCTGCAATTGTAACACTTAGGAATCGAAGTCAAAAGGACTGCTAAGAGTTTGTGGCCAGCCTGAGCTACCCAATCATTTCCAGGCTAGTAGGAATAGTGTGTGAGCTTTTCTTCAGTAGAGTAAAAGGCAAAATAATGTTAGTTTTTGGCTTAATGAATTATATCATTAATCAACTAAAATAATAATTTCCATCTACTATTTATTCTTCATTATTATTTTGTTAATATTTTAAAGAATCAAAAATAGTTTACTAAGAAAGTGAAACCACTCCTAATAATGAAAGTGAGCAAGAGTCGGAAAAGGTCGGGGCTCGAAGCACGTTTTATTAATTTTTATGTCTTTAGTTGTTTGTTCACTGACAGTATTTATATTGCATTTAATATTGTGCCATGTGATTTATTGGCTTTTATTTTTGTTTATGTAAATTGTATTGATGATTCTCACCTGGCATACTAATATTATGCTTTTACCAAGCTTTTACCATTCACTGAATGAAGATTTTCTCTGATCAAACGTCCGGATAAATTTCACCCCTATTTTGTTTACAGTTTAGTCTTTAGTGAGAAGCTCTACAGTCCCCATGGCTCTCCTGTGATTATCAAGTAATAGCCTTAGCGCTGTAGACTTTACAAAATGAATTATGAACATGTCCATCTTCATTTAACAATATCAAATATAATTGGAGGTATATGGTTTCTTAAATTTAGTAACTATGACAGAAACCTTAGATCTTAAACTGTGTAAGAAACAAAAATAGTTCAGTAAGTATTGCTGTTATTTTTATTCAGGGTTCTCTTCATGTTGAGTTTAAAAACTTTTTATTTCCTAGAATTTTTCATGATACCCATATTATTAAATATTTAAAATTATGTTTACACTATTCCTTCTTACCTACTGTACACATAGAGAAAGGAAAAAGGGAAAAGTAGTTGGCTCCTGAGGAAAAAATTCAAGATTGACCTCTGGCCACCACACGTACCTACCTATACTTTCTTTCTCTCCCTCTCTCTCTCTCTCTCTCTCTCTCTCTCTCTTTCTTTCTGAAACAATGATGATGTAGAAGTGCATTATATTGAGGGGACATACACCCTCTTCCCTAGCCTACTATATTATATAGTCTTTCTGTTTTACTTGATATTACAGCAATAAATTCTGCATATTATTTTCTAACTAAAACCCTTGGGTCTACAGGTTGAGCTCCCTTTTTGTTATGTTTGATTGAAATTGCAATTACATAGTTATTTTGCCAAGGAATTTCACTTGTTTTAACACTTTTCTGTGTATCTGTTTATCTCACATAACTGCCAATGTTAATGCCTGTACAAAATCTGCTTTTTCAAATTCTCTAGAAAATAGAAAGTTTTCTTTGTAGTATGTTTTGTGACCAATCTTGAAAACTGAGTGAACCTTAAAAAACACTTCCATTTAGAGCAAACCATTCAGTGGGGGAACAGTAAATCAGTAATTACACTGTTGTGACTGTTTCTTATGCCTTTCTTTTGATGAATTAAAGAAGCAGGCTCATTCTAGGTTTAGTAATTTCATAGCAATTCCATCATTCTTCCACATTTTATGTTACATTTTTAGCTTATATAACTTCAGGCTTTATCCACTCTGGCAGTAGTATCAACTGAGAGTGCCTGTGTGGTCTATACTCTGCTCATTCTTGTGTGTCTGCCCCTGACCCTAATGTCTTTAGTTGTCTGCAATGTCTGTGCTGTAACTCACCACTGGGAAATTTAACCCTCTCTAGTCTCTTAGTGAGTGCTCACTCATCTTTCACACTTTGCCAAACCGTGTCTTTCAGAAAGTTCTCCTTGCCCCTTCATTTCCTTATGTCTTTTTAGGCAATAAAAGCATTTATATCACTATGCATCTTGCTAACATAAGCACATTGCATGAGTAACTTGAAATTTCTGTCATAATTAGAGTACTTCATATCTCCAGAATGAGAACACAACGTACTAGAATAGGACGTGCTATCTGACTAACACTGGTGTGTTGCTGCACTGACTACAGTGCCCGGCACAAGGCGGACTTTAAGGCAAATTCTGGAGTATGTAGAAATATGAGGAAGCATAAATCAGAAAAATCAGGATTTCTGGATATGACTCAGTCTTTCCTGAGCCCATGGAAGAAGATCTAATTCCATTTCCATTATAACTGCTTGATTTTATCATGAAGAAATGCTTCATCTGAAACTTTTTGTTCGTTTTTTATTCTTGAAATATAGGACATTACTTGGTACTTTCTGGTAAGCTGTGATGTTTCTGGTTGTTGAACCTCCACCACGTTTTTTCGGGGGTGTATAACAGCGCCCACTTCCTACACTCCATGATCCTCCTGGGGGCTTTCTGGTTGCCATTACCCATGTGACTTCCTATAGCACAGGTCCTGCCCTGCAGACCATCATTCTGTGTTGCCCACCCTTGCTGGATTTCTGTCTTTATCTCTCTAGCGCATGGCATTGGCTGATTCTGTGGTTCTCTACCAGGCCTACCTCTTCACCCTGAGAATAACAGCTGCTGTTTCACTGTATCGTTTCAGTGTACTTTGCTGAGAAGTAAATATGGTTTATATTAAAAAAAAATGGTGTGATAATACCTGTACACACTGTGTAATTAGTATCCCAATGAACTGAATTAAATAGCTCATTACCACCAATGGGAGCATGATCTCACCAAAGATTTTCATCTTGTAACTGGAGATTTGAACTCTTGACTTACTTATTTAAGTAAGCAACTGGAACATCACTACAATATGGGCTGAGATACACAAGTATTATTTCCACACATTTAAACAAATATTAGTAAGGAGTTAAAAAACAATAGAAAAATGCTGAAATACCTAATGATTTATTTTTAAAAGATATTTATTGCAGGTTCCCAGAACTGCATGTGATGAGCTTCAGCATCAAACGAAGAGAGCTAGATGCCTTCTTGGTGCCCCTACATGCACGTGTGGATTGAATTTAAGACAAATGAAAGAATCAAAACACTCAGGAGCCATTAGATGTGTAAAGAGTTCCTATTAGTTGCCCCTTCTTTTACTTTTTATTGGTTTTCTTTTTAAAAAATTTTTATTTATTTTTAAATATTTTATTCTTATTTTTTAGTTTTATGCATGTGAGTGTATTGCCTACATGTGTGTAGGTGTACCCGTGTCATGCAATACCCACAGAGGTCAGAAGAGGGTGTCACATCCACTGGAATTGTACTTACAGGTTGTTGTTAGCTGCCATGTTGTGCTGGGAGCCAAACCCAGGGCCTCTTCAAGAGTAGCCCATGCTCCTAACCACTGAGTCATTTCTCTAGTCTTATATTGGTTTTCTTACATTTTATAGAATTTGTGTCTACACGTCTACATCTAGTTCCCTTTATTTCTGTACTAATATTTTAACTGTTTATTAATTTATATTCTGTTTAGTATTTCATAAACCCATTCTCTACAAATATGCACTATGACCTGAAATCAGCAAGATAGTTATCATTCTTTCTGGTTTAAAGCAAGGAGTATGTAAGCATAAATACAACCTGTGTTTAGGATGTTGTGCCTAGAAGCACTCTGCTTCATTGTGGGTAGTTAACATTGTAAGAGAATATTATATATTGTGATAAATGGTAAAGACTTTGTAACTGTTTTTATTTGTGACTTTAAACTGTCAACTAACTGAATGGTTTTAATGACCAACATTTGTTCTAAATGTATATTTCCTCAAAATTAGCTTATTCTATTTTTTTATTATTTTTATTTTATGTGTATGAGTGTATTACCTACATGTAGGTTGTGCAATGACAGCAGAGGACAGAAGAGGCTGTCTGATCCCCTGGAACTGGATTTACAGACAGTTGTTAGCTCCCATGTGGGTGCTAAGATTCAGTTATTTTAAGTGGCATAAAAATATTCTTTGTTCTTAAAAATACTTTATTCCAAAGAATATTTGGCTATTTCAGGAACTGCATACCATGCCCCACTTTGTTCTTAAGCTATAGATACCTTTCACATGTACTGTCAGTACTTTGCATATGCATTCATTTCTAGATTGACCTTTTTAGCAGTTATTCAAATCACTATTCAGCTAACATTTTTTTTCTGATTGTCTTTCTCTTCTTTTTCTTTTTGGCATGCTGCAGTAGCTAACATATTATGGAGAGAAGAAGGTACTAAATTCAATTATATTTTATATTGAGTTTGCTTAATTTTTATTATATTTGAAAACTATTATTAGTTCAATATTTGGATTATTATTTTATTTTGATTTAATGTTTTGTTTTATTGTACTTCAATATTCTAATATAAACCTGGTACTATTAAAATATAGTGGTACATGCCTGTAGTCCCAGCACTTGGGAGCCAGAGGCAGGTGGATATCTGTGAATTCAAGGCCAGCCTGGTCTACATAGTGAGTTCCAGGACAGCTGGGGCTACAGGGAGACCCTGTTTCAAAAAGACCAATATATATATTAGGCCAGCATAATGGCACAGTGAGTGAAAACATTTGCAGCCAAGCCTGATGACCTGAAATCTAATTCTGTGACATACATGGTAGAAGGACAGAGCCAACCTCCACAAGCTGTCCTCTAATCTCCTTCCAAATGCTATGCCATGCACACACACACACACACACCCTCCCACACATGCTAAAATAAATTTAAAAATATTTGTTGCTTTGATTCACTATTAATAGTCAGAATCTTTCATTGCAGTATCTTCAAATAGTTTTAAAATATAAAATTAGGTCAAAATAGTATAAACAATTTCACTTTACATGTTTTGTGTAGTAAACCTTTTTAAAAAGGGTAAAAATAACTATATAAGCTATTGCTTTACCAAAAGGATAATGAGTTATGTAAGATAATGAGTCACCTATTTGATGAATGATGAGAATGTATTCTCCCTCTCTGTAGAATACAGGAAGAGTGACTTGCTTTGTATCACAGTTTTCTTAACATTCAAATTTCTATGCTAGTCCTTAATACTCAGTAGAGTTGTGCTTAGTTCCTTAGATGTAGTCAGCACTGAATAGTGGTGTACAGTTTCTCTTAGTGCTGTAATGCCATTGTCTTCTTCACTTACTGACAAAGACTGGAACAAATGTGCTTTACTCCGAGTCATATCTATGCTTTAATTAATTTGTTAGGGGAAAAGTGTATGAGTCTTCACTACAGTCCTGACGAGCAGTGAACCAAGCCACATTCACAGTCCCAAATATACTTCCTTTGCAACTGCAGTTTCAGACCTGAACCACGGGTGCTGCCCTCTCTGAGGGTGTCTCATGGGAATCAAGTGTTTCTGGGTGTTTGCCATTTCAACTGTGTTGCCCGTGAGAAGGCATTCTACCAAAGGCATTTGCCCTTTGTTATCTGATGCTCCTCAAATCTCTTTTATGAGTCCCTTTAAAAGTCAACAAAAGCACGTATAATGTAACTATGCTATCCTTTGATTCAGCTTGAATATTTTACCTTTGAATGCACATAACTCAATTGTATTGAAACTATCATTGATATATCTGTTAGCATCTCTTAAACTGTCTTTCCCTTTACATCAAATAAATATTTCTCTGGACAGTCAAACAACTGATTTCCTTCCATCTTATGGAAATCACAATGTCTGTGGAGTGGGAGATCAACTACCAGAAGTCTGGTTTGCAGCAGAGCAGAGGCAGCTGCTTCTTACACAGTGCTTGACTCACATTGGGCACCCTCTTCCTAAATGTGTGATATGTGAATCAACTTTGACTTATGCAAATGCCATAATATTATTAATTTATAATAGTAGTCAATGCATGGTAAATGTATAAAGATATTCATAAAATACTTATTCACTGAAGGATATCTTAGATGGCTAGATAAAAGGACTGTTCTTAAGCATGGCATTCTGATTAATTGACCTAGAGTGAGGCAGTACACACCTCTGGATTATTACTGCCTATAAAAGACCTTGACATAATCACTCTCAAAAGACTTTATATAGTAAAACTAAAACAATAAGCAATATATTTATTTTCTGTTGCTCTGGAAAGTAAACCTAGGTATTTAGAGATAAGCAACTCTTAATTTGGTTGAACATAACATAAAGACTTAATTTCCATGTACTGGTATGATTTTACCCTGTCTCTGAAGAGTATTAGCTACAAAATCAGAACACAAAGAACGGGAACATTCAGAAATTTTACTTTAAGAGCATGTGCTTAACATATTCATTACCCAGTATGCAAAAATAAAATGAAGCAAAACCTGAAAACTTATATTCATGATGACTTTTCAAGGGGAGAAATTCCTATATTAATATTTAGCTAAAATGGTATTTCATTTATATACATACACATATATGTACACATATATTTTAATCATTGAAAAATAAAAAGGCATAAGAAATTATCTTATAAGCTATTTTTTAATATTTTATTTATTATATTTGTATGTGTATGAGTGTATGTCATGCAAAGCCTGTGGAGGTCAGAAAAGGATATATGATCCCCTAGAACTGGAGTTACAGACAGTTGTCAGTTTGGGAATCAAACCCAGGTCCTCTGCAAGAGCAGCCAGTGCTCTTAACAACTGAGCCAACACTCTAGCCCCTTTAAAAACTATTAAAACCTATTGAAGCACCTTTGGTTACCAAACCATCATAGAATTGTAATTTGCATGGAGCATCTTATAAATGCTAAAGTCATTTAACAACTGAAGGCAGAAAAATATCACCACAAAGTCATTGTAATCAGCTTAAACACCCATTCCATACCAGGAATGAATCAAATGCTATTGGTACAAATGCTACTATCCTTAAGTAACAACAGAATAAACAGGTGGCAGCACCATCCTCAGCAGTGTCCCAGCCCCAGCAAATGCATATGAATATGCATTATATCCATTTGTTTTCCAGTGCATTTTGTGTGTTGATATTTTCAGTATTAATTAGAAAATCCTCTGGGAAATAGATTCTTCTTATAAGAGTACATGTAGGGGCTGGAGAGATGGCTCAGCAATTAAGAACACTGACTGTTCTTGCAGAAGACCCTGGTTCGAATCCCAGAACCCAGATGGCAGCTAACAACTGTCTGAAACTCTAGTTTCAGGGGATCTGACAGCATCTCTGTCCTCTGTGGGCATTGCATGATATGGGTGCACTTACCTACACACAGGCAATACTCGCAAACACATGAAATAAAAATAATAAAACGTTTTTAAAAAGGGGTACATGTAATTCTTCCTTAAGTCTGTCCTCTGCATAGAAGAAAGACAGAGCAGAAAGAAACAAACTAAAACATGGATTAATTTTTAGATCCAGGGTACACCACTAGATTAACATTTGATCTGGGGAGATAGAGTAGATGTGTCTGTCCCCACCAAGGGATAAAAAATTGGAAAGAGAAAAACAAAAACAAAACAAACAAACAAAAAAACCAGAGCCAAATACACCGCCTGCATGGGGTATCAACCTTTATTGGAACTAGAATGCTAAACAATGTCACTGACGCCAAGAGTTTTGTAATGACCTGGAACACTGTGCTTTAATGAAAACAGTGTAATTGAAAACTATATGATTAATTATTATTCAATTTGAGAATCAGAACCACTTCATCTGTAAAGTGTTATTGGAACTGAAACAGCTATTATTGAAGTGTGTTATTTCTCTTATGGATTTACATGTCAGAACTTGAAGCAAAACCATTGAATATGTGGTAGTTAACTTACTTAAAATTGGATATCATAGAGAAACAGAAATTTAGCATAGAAGTGAAAACAGGAAATAAAAATGGACTTGAGGAAAAATGAGGACCATAATGAAATTATGGTGATGCACTGAATCCTCAGTTGTTTTTTTGTATGCTGGTTCAAAGAAAGATGTCACCTAAAAATCACAAGTTAATGTTTCATTAAATCTTACTGTGTGCCAATCACTGTGCTAAATCTGTCCCTCTCTATCTCATTAACTTCTTACAATAGCTGAGTGGTACATGTTACCTCTAGATTCAATATGGGGGAGACTACTTAGCATCCCATGGCCCCAAAGTGTTTTCACAGTGTTATCAGAGCATGCAACTTATCTCCCTGTGCTGCTTTCTATCAAGGCCACTTGCCAAAAATATCGATATAGAAATTTAATAGTTTTAATATGTGCAAATGCATTGCTGTCTTTTTACTCAGGAAGCTAAAAAATGCCTCAAATAAAAATCTATGTCTGCAGTTCCCATCATCTCTACCATCAGGAAATTTGTGTTACTCTGTGTTGAGTATATTTTAATAAATTAACATACACATGATAGTATAGCCGCAAGTTTAAGTGGAAACATACCTGGTTCATATGGTCACACAACAAAATTAATTGTTATAAATACAATTTAAAGAACAAAATATGTTTTGCACACAAAAATAAATGGCAACATATTATGTTGTAGGTGAGGAGGAACAGAATTTACAAAAAAACTCATGAGACAAAAGTAACATTTTATTTCCCAAACACAGTGGTTGATACATACGTTAATTTTAAAAGTTTTGCTTGAATTAATATATAAAGAATGAAATGTATTTAACTCACATTATTTTCTTTAAACATCAAATTATCTTACCACTGAAGAATTTTTTAAATCAACAAAACAAATTAAATCTTAGATTAAGGTATGCATATCTCATATATATCTTGTAGCCTGCAATGTGTTTTGTAATTTATAAAATTATTGATGTGGATTCATATTTTCGACTTGAGATAGAATTTTAGGGTTGAAAAGAGTGACTTGGATAAATTACATGGTTTTTAAAGGACATTTCAACTCAGAAATCACATCAGTACAACAATTCAGGGCATAATTTTAGGGCATAATTTTAACCATCCATGAAAAACATGGTTAAAAAAAAGTAATGGCAGTATCAAGAGAGGTGAGGGATGGAAATTATATATATTGTTGCTGTTTTGTTGTTCTTTTTGAGACAGGGTCTCCCTGTAGCTCCAGCTGTCCTGAAACCCACTATGTAGACCAGGCTGGCCTTGAACTCACAGAGATCCGCCGGCCTCTGCTCCCCGAGTGCTGGGATTAAAGGCATGCACCACCACCCTTGGCTGGAAATATATATTTTTTTAATGAGCAAACATTCTGAATTCTAAAACATTAAATTACTGATAGTACCCAGCAGAATTTTTGAGGAACTTAGGAAAGGAAGTTTTGTTCACTCAAAAATGAGAAGAGCTTTGTAATAACTATCAAATGCACAGATATCGTCACAGCCGAGGCAGATACCACATTGTGATATGGTTATGTTTGTTTCTAAGTTTCAATAACAATTTTCAGGAGCCAATAATGTTAAATTTTTATTAGTGACTAGCATATGTCAGCCCGTTAGTGTTTACATATTTTCTTTATTTATCAAATAAAAAGTTTTAACATAAACAATGATCTTTTCTAAGCTTTATTCTGTGGATATGAGATTTATATTCCTTTATGCACAACTATCCATATAAGTAAAAACCTGACAATAACTGAGCTATTTCTTATGTAAATTATTATGAAAATGTGACTTGAGGGACTGCAGATATGGCTCAGTGGTGAAGAGCATTGGCTGTTATTGCACAGGATCCAGCATCGATTCCCAGCACCCACATGGCAGCTAACAATTTTAACACCAGTTCCAAGGGCTCTGATGCCCTATACTGATCTCCATGATCTTTGAATGACATGGGTGCACTTACATACATACAGGCAATACACTCATATACATAAAACAAAAATAATAAATAAAATTTTTAAAAATTAAAAAAAAAAAAGAAGAGCAGGGGCCAGGGGAGCAAGCCAGTAAGTAGTTTTCCTCTGTGGCCTGTGCTCCAGCTCCTGCCTCCAGGTTCTTGTCCTGAGTTCCTACCTTGGGCTCCCTGATGAACTGTGCTCATATACATAAAACAAAAATAATAAATAAAATATTTTAATTAAAAATGTGATGAATTTGGGGTTTTTTGCTTGTTTTTTTTTTTTTAAATTTTTTCCTTTCTGCTGCTGCTCAGGGTTACCCCATCTTCCTGTGCTATTCCCTGGAACTACAGCAATTAACAGATGAATGTTACATGTGTTAAAACCTGAGTCCTATAAATTATTGATGAAGTCATATGACATTTTTAGTAATCTGGAATCATTAAAATACATATGCAATATTGAGTGAAGTAACTTCATGTTCTGCAAGAAAAAGTGCAAACATGTTATGTATAAAAAAACCCAAAGTTGTCATTAAATGAGTACATTTTCTACAAAAAAAAATAGAACAAATCTACATGGCTAAAATTTATGACCTTTATATTCAGTAGTAGCCTACGTATAAATTTAAATATGCTTTAACTTCAGTAAACAAATACTTGTATGAGTCAGGAAACTTTTAGTGTGTCCATGAATGGAAAGCCTGAAACTGGATTTAATAGGTTTGAGAGTTGATCTCATTTAAGAAAAAAATAATTCTGAAATCAATTTTGTTGTTAAAATTTAAATGAATTACATCACTCTTTGCAAATACTTTGAGTACTTAAATAATTTAAGCAACTACTGATTTTTTGTCATATGATTTCAATATCACCCCACATCTTTCAAAGAACAAGTAATATCATTTGATTATATAAAATGTTATTTGGTTGAATAAATTTGAAACAACACAATTGTCAAAAGAAACCATGTATATTGAGATTTAAAAAAGAAGTCTTTATCAGCTCAGGCTAAGTGGGATCAATAAGAGCAGAAGCAAAGTCACAGAGACAGGTGCGTGATTATGTAGAGCCCCAGAGCAGGTGTGTATACTCCCAGGACAGGTGTTCTCTTGTATGTGGGAGCCACAGACAGCTGTGTATGCTCCCAGGACAGGTGTGCATGAGGATATGGTGGTATCTCTAGGACTCAGGTTTGGGCTAACCTCAATCACATTCCAAGTGTTATCCATTCACTTTATGGCCCACTTGGTGTGGATTTATAAAGAGGAATTTCTGATATGACATGTATTCAGATCTGTATTGGGCAAAAAGGTAAAACGATATTTGAAAAATTAAACAAATTCTTCTAAGAAGTTCAATTAGTTTATTTTAAATGTAGAAATAGACTCCCAACATTATGACTATAAAAAAATTTAAGTATAAACTCATTTAAAACCTTTATGTAGGATGGTTGACAAGAATTAGTACAGTATCTGTTCTCTCAAACATGGTACAGTTTGAATTTTTATTTCTAAAAGTCTTCGCATACTATAAACTCCCAAATGAGTAAAATTAACTTTATTCTCAGGAAATTCAGATAAAAATATTTCGATGAATTGATTCTTCATTGCTTAATTTTACTCGTTAACTAATATCTATGTTAAGTATGGAAGGGATCTCATGTAATCTGTGTCAAGGAATTCACAATTCCATCTGTACTTATTTTAAGACCTATGAAACATGTACTGAATTATATGAAGTACACCACTTCATTGTAGATCACAAAAAAATCAAGAAAAATGCCAACTCATGTCTCACAGTGACTCAGGATGCAGAGAAGGTCCCGTGTGGTTTGATTAATTAGCATCACACAACTTCAAAAATGTATCCCCTACCAGGGATATGAAGGAAGCTGAGTTTTTGTTATACAAGTTTCTGTTAATTCTATTTTGAACTTTTGAATGTGTTTTATTCCTAAGGTCTGGGAATTGGGAACATGTTCTATGTTTTTTATGAAGATGGAATCAAAGTGATACAACCCATAGAATGTGAATTTCAGAGGCACATTAAGCCTAGTGAAAAGCTCCTTGGATTTCAGGCAAGTATCTTAAAAATTCTTTCACAGTTTTATGAAAGAAATTTTGTAAAATAAAATTATATTTTGGAAATACAATGAAACCTGTTCCTATGTAAAGCTCATGAGAGGAGGGAAATTATAAACTTATTATACAGGTTGTTAGTCTACGAAGGTTTTATATATGAGAAGGAAAATCAGATAATATGGTTTTTATTTTAATACTTATTTGTAATAAAATGAATTTGATAGATGTGAAATTTCCACAATGAGTACAGCATGCCATGGGCTTCTTAATTTAAAAATCTCCCATTATTTGAGGACAGTCATTTTTTTTAATAAAAGAAAATTGCATGTAAATAATTTTGGGTATGTTAGGTTATAAATATTAATTCCTTCATTTCATTTTTCATGAGTTCTCATTAGATTTGAAAATTTACATTTAAATTGGAAAAATCAGTTCCTAAAGGTATTTATTTTTATCTCATTTTTACCATAAAGATATTCATCTTTAAATTTTCAGTACAATATTTAAATATCAAAAAGATCTCTGACAAAATATGTATTAATATTAAAGAGCATTTTGTCTCTTAGTTTTGTAAGATGGTAAGTAATGAGCACATAAGAAACAATTTTAAATTGCCATACCTACATAATTCTCTAGATAAGTTATATACATTAAGATATGTAACACCATCTCTCTGGTCTCTTCTCACTCTATTTTATTGAATTTTTGTGAATTTCATACAATGTATTTTGATCAGCATCCCTTTTATACTCTCCCACATCAGAATTCATGTGTTTGTCATACATATTTAGGGCTCTGGAGTCAAGTTTGTGTCCCCAAATTTCCTTCAATGTGCATGCATCCACTGGAGCCTGGTTAACCTATCTAGAATCTCACAGAAAATGAACTCTCCCTCTCCCTGTAGTTATTGGTTGCTAATAGTTCCTCAGCTGTGGTTGGGGCTTCTGACACTCTTCCCCACTTGTATGCTAGAATTTTGTCTGGCTTCAGTGTCTCTGAGTCTTATACATGCTGTCACCATTGCTGTGGGTTCATATGAGTAATGTACCAGCTCTCCCAAAAATTCTCTTTCCTCGTGGTCATCCACTACCTCAGGCTCTTACCATCTTTCTTCCCCCTCTTCTCCAACAGCCTCAGAGTCTTGGGTGGCAGAGCTTAAATATTCAGGGATAAGCACTTTGCTGTCTCTTAGTCTCTGTACTTTGGCCAGTTGTGGCTTCTTCGATTAATCATCTGTTGCATGAGGAAGCTTCCCTGGTGAGAGTTGAGAGATGCATTAATACTCTTCCTGCCCTCTGTTCCACTGCTTTGTGAGCCTTAGGTATAGAGGTTGCATTGTAGCTGTGTCACTTAGGTCCGTATACTTACTGCTCTAAACACACAGAGGCCAGTGCTGCTATTGTACACTGATGTATGAAGACGGCAGTTGGCAACTGAAAGCAAAATCCTGCAAATGAAAAGGAAACATATACAGCAATAGAATAGAGAGCACATAAAGTCTGAAACAAATAATTTTTTCTTGCTTGAAGCTGTTTTCTTTTCTGTTTAAAGATTTAAAAAATGGAATTTCAGTGAATATAGACTACGTAGTGCTATAGTCCGCAACCTTTAAGGTTCAAATTGTAGAATAACTTCATGAGAAGCGATGGTGTGTGCAAGCAGACAGTATGTTTCACTAGAGAAACAGAATAGGATCTCTCTCTCTCTCTCTCTCTCTCTCTCTCTCTCTCTCTCTCTCTCTCTCCCTCCTTCTGTCTCTGTCTCATTCTCTTTTTTTATATTTTTTGAGATAAGGTCTCATTATGTAGCTCTGGCTAGCCTGATACTTGATTTGGAGACTAGGCTGGCCTCAAACTCATAGACATCCACCTGCCTCTGTCTCCCAAGTGCTGGAACTTAAAACCTATACCACCATACCCTGACAGTCTCCTTTTCTTTTTTCTTTTTTTATTTATTTTCTTTCTTCTCCTTCCTTCCTTCTTTCCTTCCTTCCTTCTTCCTCCTTCTCCCCTTCATCTTATTATAGAGAGATTTATTTTTTTATTTATTTTTATTGAAGTCTTTGTGTATTTCATACACAACATCTCAAAAAATCATAATCATCTTTATACCTCCCATCCCCACTGGCACCCTCCCCATAGTCTTCCCAGTGGAGCCCATATACTTTGTCATCCCTGTTAAGTTCCACTGTGTTGCCAGATTCCCAGCCATTCACCAGTGCAAGTCTAGTCAACCTGAGTCCCTTGTTTGAGGAAGATCAGCTCTTTTTAACCAAGCAGCAATAAGGTGCCAATATTTCTTCAGGTAAGATCGGGGTCTGCTGTTCACTTTCCCAGTTCTCTACTGGGTTGTTCTCTGCCTGAGTTTGCATGGGACTTTTGTCTGCTGACACCATTGCCATAGAATCATATGAGCAAGATCCCAGGAGCTTGTAGGACTCTGTTTCCATATGGTCATGCACCTCCTCCCTGGCTCTTACAATCTGTCTTCCCCCTATTCCTTGATGGTCCCTGAGCCTTGGGTGGGTAAAGTTTAATAAAGGAGTCCTGTCTAAGGACCAGCATTCAGTAGGCTCTTGATCTCTACACTTTGGCCGTTTGTATTCCTGGCTCTTGCTGTATGAGAAAACTTCATTAATGAGAACTGAGAGATTCGTTAGCATCTTCTTTACCCCTGTTCTATGGTCCTTGCACCTTAGGTGTAGAGGTTGCATTGTAGATGTATCACTTAGGCCTGGGCAATTCGTAGACAATGTCCATGTGTGACCAGTTGTGGTACTTGGTAATCGTCTCTGACTGGTATAAAATGAACTCCTTTGATAAGTGGTGACTAGGACATAGATCTTGGAGAAAACTCAAAGAATGTCACATTGCTAAACTAATGTGATTTCTTACTATGTGCAAAATACATGTCCTTATATTTATAGAGAGATTTATTTTAGAGATTTATTTTAAAGAATTATCTCTGACAAGTGTGATTTATTTTAGAGATTTATTTTAAAGAATTATCTCTGAAAAGTGTGGGCTAAAGTGTCAAGTCTAAAATCTGCAGACTTGAGGAGATGGGGGAGTTATAGGTAAGAATGTGCCTTCTACCTTAACACATGCTGCAAGTCAGACAAACAGGCTAAAAACTCAGACAGACTTGAATTTTGGAATCTTGCGTCTTCAGTCTTAATGTAGACTGAAAACCCAGATTTGAAGCCTGGATTTCTATGTTGCAATCTTGAGACAGAGTTCCTTCTTTGCTGGGATACAAACATTTAGCTCATGCTTCACCTGATTGGATAATGTTGGTCACATCCACAAACGCTTTCACCACATCTGTGTTTCAGCCCCGGTCCATGTTATCTCTTGGATGATCACTGTTTAGAGGTTGGGCTCATTTCTTAAGCCACCTAAATAATTAAAAAGCATGATAAAGATTGACATATATACACCCATTCACACAGCGAAGCACTCCACAACCGGAAACTGAAATGAAATTCCCCAGGGAGGACATGGAGTTTGAGGGTTTCAGTGAGATCCCTGTCTCTTATTTTTGGATTAGTCAGCTTACACAAAGAAAAGAAGACTTTCAGCTTCTAACGATGAGGTGTCCTGGCCCAGCCTCAGTCCTATTGGAACCAGTTTGAGCTATTCCAGAGAACAGTGAGCCCTGCTGGCTAGATGGGGAGACCCCATGCTTTTTTGAGGTCAAGAAGAAGAGGAAAGCATGCCATCTTTGTCATCCATCACTGACCCTGTTTGTTTATCAAGGGTTCAGTCCCTTACATCTATACTGGGGTTTGGCCAAGCTTGTGGTTATTGTAGCCAAGCCAGTAGACACAGAAATAAGCCATTGCCACCTCTCTCTTTATTGGTGGATTAGGATATAGTCTCAACAAGCAGAAACACTGCTGTACATAAGGGTGATCAAGGAGTATTGGTTCAAAAAATTTAATGAAAAGCCCATTGCATGAAACCTTGGCTATTCACTCTTTCATGCTTTTATTGACTCTGATGATAGTTATCTCATTTCTTGGCAACCTTAACATTTCTCCCTACTTCATAATAGTGTTTTTCTCTGTCAAAAATATTTTCTGGAATACTCTATTGCTGAGGATTTTGGGCATAAATATACCTTCAAGGATCTAGTAAGTCATGATGACATGGATGTTTAAAAACATCCTTTGGTTTGGAGTAGAGCAAAAAACAGCCTCTTATTTGATTTCAGAAGATAATTTTTTTGAGTATAAGTACTTGGAATATCACTTTTGGGTCATTTTTTCACCCACAAAAATAATAAACATGGTTATGATATTTTTCAAAGTCAGCTGGAGCATTAAGAGAGTAATAATGCAGGTCCCAATATAATGTGTGGATCAGTAAAGTGTAGATAAGAACTGGGGTACTTAGACTCCTTCATCAAATCCTTCCAAAGATACTGTTGCTCGCTCTTAATAAAAATTCAATTTTGGTGCAGTGTCAGTTTGCATTAGGTTTTGGGCACTTGGAGAACATTGGTGAGGAATCAGTCGTCAGCTGTGCAGAGTTCTTCCATGTCTTGTTCAGCTTTTCCTTTTTGTTTTGTGTCTCTGATAAGCAGAACTTTTGCTGCGTTTATCCTAGTTGTACACATAATTTCATCTTGTCAGGGGAGGGATGAGCTTCGAGCAAACATAATGTTCTTGCCATCTTATGGATTCTGATTCAAAAGGAAATGACTTTGGAAAAAAAATGTTTAAGCTTTTCCTCTGTTACTAACTTTTCCCTCTTTTGGTTTTCAAGAATTGCCAGCTTTGTGTTCTGCCCATGTGGGCTTTAACGCCCACATTTAACTTTCGGTCACCCCCTGTGTTTACAGATGTACTTGATTTGGATCCAGCTGCTGGTTTTGACAAAGGCCACAGTGTTAGTCTCACTGGCTACTGGCAGAGCTTTGAAGACAATCTCCTATATCGTGTCATGCATAGCTCTTGGGCAGTGTAACCTGAAGCTTCTATTTCTGGATTCAA